CTGCTCATGTCAGTTCGGGCCAAGCCAAACCGTGTTTAGCAGTCCAATGGAATTCTGGTTCGGGAACACTCACATGCTATTCTTGTTATCCAGGAAATACATCATGCCAATCCGGGCCTAGATTACTTCCTTGCGGTACGCCGGAAGGAATGAAAAATTCATCTGAATATGAAGAGCCGATCCTTACTTTCACAGACCTTCCAGTCAGGTACGATCTAAACCAGTTTACTAGGTCGGAGGAAAGTCTAAGTTTCTCAAGTTTTCCAAGTAGGATATCATGATTCACTCGGTCGAATTCAGCTTTGAAATCTGTGTACACGGCATCTACTTGCGTACCAGCGTTCATCGAGCGTATGCAGAGTGAAGTAAACTGTGTGAGATTTGTAGTGACGGATCGTTTCAGGAAGAATCCATGCTGAGAACAGGATATGTAGTTCTTGCTAGCCTCAAAGATAATATATTTAACGATAATCTCAAAAAGTTTAGAGCAACAAAATCTTCAAAAGATCTATACATCATTTTGCGGAATGCTGTTGAAGAAAAAAGTTAGAGGCAAATGAATGTATGAAATGAATGCAAATGATTTTGCATGCCGGACTGAGGGCAGTGTCGATCTGCGTTTGCGTGGTCAATGTATTCGAGAAGGCATTCTTGAAGTCATCGGCAACATTTACTATACGCTGAACTAGCAGAACGCTCATCAAAATACATGGATGTAGGTAATCCATCTTCCTTACGTTTTGTACGAAAAAACGACCAGAAAATTTTCGGATGCACACGCAAGTTCCTTTGCGTTCGATCAATGTACCGAGCATACAGAATACGATAGTACCTAGCATGCTTGCTACTAGCAAGCACAAAGCGATGCTTCAACTGTTGAGACCTATTGCGACTATAGTTGCGAAGCGCAGATCTTCTACGGCGCTTCAATTGGCGAAGGCTGGAGTTTGACCAAGGCGGCTTCAATAGAGGACGTTGAAGAGGCACGTTAGCTTCAATGACGTGACGTATTTCCGCTCAGAATCCAGGAACTCCCAATCGATCGAGGACAGTGCATCGTTTAGCAGGTCGTAGTCTACCCGACGAAAATCAAACTGGTTAGAATTATGAAGTGGCTCGTCAATCACCGGTAACGATATAGATACGGTGACAGCAGGGTGTGCGGTATCAGTATCAACGAGTGATTCGGCTGCGTCGGAAACACAACAGCTTTGTAACCCAGTATCATTAACGCGTACCAAATCGAGAATCCGTGAATTGGAATTTACAACGCCATTTACCTGTGTCAGGCTATGGAAGCAGAATGCATCGTACCAAATACTACTAGCTGTCGTCAGTTGAGACCTGCTGGAATCTACTTTGAGACCTCTATCTTCTGAAGGTATCCACTGCAATTGAGGGTGATTATAGTCACCGAGCTGGAAAGCGACATCATGAGGCTTCAAGCACGATAAAACGGAATCAATGGATGTAATATGCTGCTGGATGAGAAACAGATCATCTCTACGATCTGGTGGCAGATAAAGCACTCCAACGCTGACGGCACACATGGGAAGCATGATTTTAACCCAAAGCTGCTCAAGAGCATTACTAATCGGAGCCGGATCAATACAACAGCACAAACCATATGATACGGCTATCAGCCCTCCGCCGCCGTCCTGAAAACCGTGTATGATCCGTTAAATAATTGAGTAGATAGGAGTCGATCTTCGTCCGCAGTCTTCGTACATTTTGGTAAAAAATGCGCAAGTTTGAAACGGTTCCAGTAGCATTTAGTGCGTCACAGAGTGTCGGAGATTGTGAGTAAGCTGAAGGATGTTTCGCTGGATACGGCCAAGACTGGACGGGCTGGTGGCCGTGAGCGGTTCCTGGGGAGAGCACTAGATGCGGGCCTCCTCCCAGATCACCATGGCAATACAGGAAGTATCACAACAAAGGTAATTACGATTAGATATTTTGCAAACAGTGACAGATAGCTGACATGGACAACCAGTGGAGGTGGCGGGCAAAGGTGTTTATCCTAGACAAATGGTAAGTTACAAATTCGCTGTTGTCGTTGTCGTAGGCGCCGTCGTAGTCGCTGTCGTAGTCGCTGTCGTAGTCGCTGTCGTAATCGTCGTCGTAGACGTAGGCAGTACCGTTAGTATATTTAAAATTAACCATCAACCGCTGAAAATATGAATTATCGCGTATTTCTGTTGTTCATTACATGCCAAGTGAAATTCGAGAACGTAATTTCATTTGAATAGCTTGTTTAACCAGGTCTTAAACAATCGTCACGTCGGTCATAGCTTGTTATGATTGCCTGAACCATGCGTAAAGAGAAAACATTGAACGTCGCGTGAAAGTGGATCTTAATGAAGGCCTCCGTACTATTTCGTAGCTTTTAGTTTTAGGATTTCAAAGATCGTCGGTTGCAGTGGCTTGCTTACTGAGCAGAAAAACGCGGTCCCAGGTCCTTTCATATTAAAAATGTATGGTAAGATCGCTTGTTTATCGTATATGTTGTAAAACTTTTCGTTGTCGTTGGTTCCGGGTTTGAATGGATACAAAAATTTGAGCAACAAAATTATGTGATATGAGGGGCTCAGTGGCCTTAGAGTAACCGTTTTTGCTTACTGAGCAGAACATCATGAGTCTAATCTCAAGCCCATCCACATTCAAGATTCGCCAATCGTTTTATTTGTTAACATGAATACATGGTAATAACAGCAACTCGATGATTAAAAAGGAGCTCGTCTGCCTAGTGGCAAACGTTTTTGCTTACTGAGCAGAAGACCGTGGGTTCAATCCCAAGCTCCTTCGCGTTATATGATTGTTAGGACATCAATTCAGCTTATCGTTTACCAAAACGAACCATGCTGCAAACCCAACCCTCTTACCCAACATCCCTGTGATTCCTCGTGGAAGTGCAGAGGACTCCTCGGCTTCCATCAAAGCGAGTGCCACGTCAACACATTCCTATATATTCCGTTCTTGACCTGCGTTCAGGCGCGGCTGGCGCTGGTATTGCCTAATTCGAGATCACCAGTTTTTACACATTGAGGATGATTGCTAGTCCCAAGCATCGTCTATTGGTTCTCTGTGTAATTACAGCTGGTTTGACAATAACAGAGTAGCAACCGTGGGCGGTCAATCATGCTTATGCTCATGCTCATGCATTTTTTTTTCTGAACTTAATTTAACGGTCCTTAAGTTCTTAAATGTTTCCTGAAGTCTTTAGAACTTCCGTAAGGTTTCCACAATTCCAAAGTTCCTGATATTGCCTTGAAGTCAATAGAACTGTCGCGAGGTTTTCTGTTCTTCATCTTAGTTCACGTAATTTTCCTGAAGCTCATTTAACAGTGCTGTAATTTTTGGAATTTACCCTAAGCTTATTTTTAAATGCTTGGATTATGTTTTGTTTTTGTAATGTCAACATGCTAGAGACAATATACTCTTTTTTTAATCCAGCGATTTTTTTTCAAACTTCTGTTTTTATCACTAGGAGTAGACTAAGAGGGACTCACCGAACTTATTTAGAGGCCGTAGATTTATCTGAAATAGGAATGAAAATATAATTAATGGACAGAATCTTAGAATGTTAACAATGAAGGGATTATTGAAGTCGTAGGAACAAATAATCACGACTAACATTCTCATGAATCGCTGAACGAGAATCAGATCCAAAAGCGAAGATCACTGTACATAATCTAGGAATGATTTTATTATTCATATTACCAATAAGAATTTCTACAGAGAATGGCAAGGTTTGGTTTCAGGACAAAATTCAAAGAAATTGTTCCCAAAGTCTCCCCGTTTATCTTTTGATAGGTATTTTATATCCACAGGAGGAAAATCACTTCAATTACTACACGATAACCTCAAAACACCCAATAATAACTTCAAAGTAAGCATTTTCGAGGGAAACTGGGACTAACCCATTAAATGAGTTAAATGTTACCGATTTATGAGCAATTACAACCACATAAATGAGTAGTAAGTATTGATTTATGAGTAAAAAATACTCATAAATGAATAAAGTTTTTACTCATTTAATGAGTAGCACCAGTTTCTCTCGAAGATGCTTACTTTGTAGTTAATATTGAGTCTTTTATAGTCATTATTGGGTATTTTGCGGTTACCGTGTACTACCCGTAGAAGGCGAAAATATCTTATGAATAACTAATTATGTTCCTGATACCAAAATTTGGTGTTGATCAGCCTGACATAAGAGTCTCAGGGTACCTAACTTTGCATTAACTGTCATGGTGCGAAGATTGTAGCTTCCTTGGAAGTGCTCAAAGAGCAACTAAGTCGCGAAAGACGACATAAAGTTACAGTAATAGAAGTTAATAGCCAAAGAAGCATCGGGCTCACGAGCCTCAAAACCTTGAAAATCTACACCCCTCGCTCTATCGCAACCCCATTTTAGAATTTATTTAGCGATAGGCTCGTACTTCACATCGATGTATGCATTTTCTCTGCCACTCTCATCATTCGTCACACAGATCGATCCACCTACACGCACCGACCGGATGATGGACGAGCCGACGATGATGATGATGACGATGATGCCGAACGGAGCTCAACCCTGTACGGTACTATCATCATCATCATCGCAGCACCTATCAAGTATTTATTGCACTTTTCTAATTGCTTCCAATAATCTGCAATGATAATACACCCGGCCCGGACGCTCCCGTCAGTGTGCGTCGAACCTGGAACCGATCCGGAGCGTTGCCGCCGTCGTCGTCTGACTCTGTCACTCAGGTAAACTGAACAGCTGCACAACAAACTAACAGGTAATTAGTGGACTTTAACGTCAAACTGGGAGCCCCCCACGACAGTCGATAGTTTGCAAGTTAAGCGTAATTAATCATTCAGCGTTGTGAGCAAAAATCAGCCGGTTCCGCATTAGATAAGCTTTGCAGCGCTCGGAGGGCCAATCGATTGGGGCGGCATTATCACTTTGAAATAATTCAGATAACTCACATATTAACCCAGTTCCGATTGCATTTGGCGCGAGTGACATGAGTGAGTTGGTATTCACTACGAACGAAGCAATACGTGACCAATTCTAAACGACGTCATGGCTACGGTCGTCAAGGCAGGTGATGAGCTGCGCACGAGTTCCAACAAGACCGAGGAACCAGCGAAGAAGGCTGCAGTCCAACCGAAAGTGACTTCGGATTTCATCCCTCCGGATGGCGGCTGGGGTTGGATGGTGGTCCTGGCCGCTGGATGCTCGAATGTGAGTTAACGTATCAATCAATTATCTCCTCTAACTCTAAATGTCTTGCAGTTATGTACCTTCCCAGCTCTCCAACAATTCGGCTTGCTCTTCCGGGAACAGATGAGTCAGCTAAATATCAACTCCTCCCAGATCACCACCATCATCAACACGAATTCTGCATTGATGTCCATCATTGGTCGGTTGTTTATGCGTCAATTGCTGCTAACCCACACTAATCCAGCTTTCTTTCAGGCCTCCTCAACGGACCGATGTTCCGACGATTCACCTTCCGGCAAGTGGCCTTCTTCGGTGCATCTTTGGTCACCCTTGCGCTACTCCTAACGTCCCTAGCCGACTCGTTTCTCGTGTACCTCATAACCTTCTCAGTATTGTACGGTTCGGGCGTTGGTATCACCGCTTCCGCCAACTCCCTAGCCTTGAACACCTATTTCAAAGAGAAGCGCCGCTACGCTACCGGTTTCTCATGGACGGCAACCGCTCTCGGTCCCATAATCGCACCGCATATCATCACCTTCCTGTTGCCACGCTTCGGAGTCAGTGGAACGGTGCTGATCTTCGCCGGATTCGCCATGAACGCCATAGTTTGCTCGTTGCTTCTGCAACCGGTTCACTGGCATGTCAAACCCCTTCCGTCATCGGACGTCGAAGAAGCCAAACCGGAACCACGGTGTCAATTTTGCCAATCTCAGCCTCGTCCGCTTAGGAAAGACCACAGTCTCCTGTCCAGTCAGTACATCTACAACGCGGACGATGCCTGCACCACGGGATACGAAATCATCGATCCGGGAACACCGATGCTGTCCCGCGCCAACGACGGTTGGTACGGCTCCCGACTCAATCTGGGCACACCAAGTCGGATGCCTTCATCCCGTCCTTCCTATGCGAATCTCTCCGCAGCGACAGAACGACCTCCGAAAGCGGTCAGTGAGCGGCAGTACCTCACCGATAACAACAGCGCTAAAGGAGGCTTCCGGAAGCGAACCAATACCTTCATCCGAGAGAGGGAAGTTCTCAACATGGCATCCAGCAAGCTGGAGCAGATCCTGGACCACGAAGCCTGCTGCCAGTGTACATGTGACGAAGACCGTAAAGCTCTCCTACTGGACAGCGAACCGGAACCGGTCGAAAAACTCAGTATTCTACAGAAGATCGCCATCTTCTTCGATTTGGACCTGCTGAAGGACTCGATTTACGTGAACATCATGGTCGGCATAACGCTGGCCAACTTTGCCGAGCTGAACTTCTCCGTCCTGACGCCCTTTGTGTTGGGAGATTTTGGATTGGCCAAGGATCAGATCGCCTTGGCCATGTCCTTTCTCGGAGCGATGGACATCCTGTGCCGCTTTACGATACCATTCATCGCGGGGAAGATCGGATGGGAGAATCGAACGTTCTTCCTGTTCGGGGTACTTAACATGGCGCTGGGGAGAATCGGTAAGTTTGCGCTGCTCGATGAATTCGTCAATTAATCGAAGCATTCAGTTCTAGCGCACTTCCATTCCTACCCGGTGGTCATGACCGTGGCCTGCTGGATCGGCTTCAACAAGGGACTCCGGACGGTGTTCATGGCTCTGGCGATACCGTCGCACGTTCCACTTGAGCGACTACCGGGTGCAACCGGTATCCAACTGCTCTTTTCCGGACTGTTCTACCTCTTCGTGGGACCCGTGATCGGTAAGTGCACCCTTGTTGACGATTAGAATTTACGTTTCGTTGCACCGAATCTTGCGTCATGAGTTCACTCAATTTCCATGCATGACTGAGTTGGGTCGGATTTCTGGAAGCAATCATTGCAAATTTAAGCCTTCGTTGAGTGGATCAAAAAGTGTGTTTCCTTCAGTTCCCGTCTGGAATAAAACAAAAAATTTCTTTGATTTCCAATCCAATTCACAACACTCGATAAGTCATCCATTGACTTTTGATACACAGTGGACCTGTGCCTGTCCAGTAGTTCCATCGTAAAAATTTACAAAGTATCACCGAAATTCAACTGTGGTGTTATAAAACGTTTCATCTTCTTAGAAATAATGAGCCGATGGAAATGGTTTCAGCTCTTACTGGCTATTCTATTTCGTTAGTTGTTAACAGAGGACAGTGCAGTCAAAAACCCTTTCACAGACTAAAAAATAAAGTATCTACTGCAAAACTGTCCCGCCCTTTACCGGATTTCCTTTCCCCCCCCCCCCCTCTTTTTATGAATGGGCAGGGCTTAGAAACTATTTTGACGTAGGATTACGTGTTTCGGCAACATATTGGGGTGCAATTTAAAAAAAACCAAAATTGACCGCGCTACGAAAAGTGGTCAGGTTTTGACCACTTATACCTCTGTCAATAGCGGATGGATTTTAATTCTAAGCAAGTCAATTGGATTGGAAATTTTTCTACAAACCTGCTAAAATGAACACTTTATCAAATTTCAATAGGTCAGTATTGAAAATTACACAAATCTAGATAGAGCAGGAATTAGGGCGTAACAGCTTTTGTAAACAATGACTTCTATCGATGATTTCTAGGACTTCAAGGCACGTCCACGCAGATCAACCTAACCATCGGATAGAGGAAGTCTTTCCCTATCCGATGAGGATGTTGGTTTGCGTGGGCGAGCCTTAAATTTTTAGAAATCATCAAGAGAATTATTATTATTATTTAACTTTCAGCCTTGGGCTGGTTCGCCTCCAATCATCAAGAGAAGTCATTCTTTACAAAAGCTGTTAGGTCCTAATTCCAGCTCTATCTAGAAATGTCCAACTGTTGCAATCACCGATCACCGATTGCCTGTGAAAAGCGCTTTCCCTAACACAGCTTTCAAAATCGAATTCCATCCGGCCAAATGAAAAATTTGTTATCAGAAAACGAGGCGTTTCCGTGATGGAAAAAAGTGGATTCCCTAACACAGTCGCCGAATATTGATACCGAGCAAGTAATCCTACGTCAAATCTACGGCCGTGTCTTAGATACAACCTCTAACTTTTTTGTTGCGAGAATTCAAAAAAAGAGAAACTTCAGATTTTAGTCCAAAGTCCTAAATAAAGATACCAACAACTTTGTGAGTGCCAGGTACTCTTTCCTGATGTCTGTGAGAGGGAAATCACAAATCGTGAGTCATCAAAATATATGGCATGTTGTGATATTGAGCTCGTGGGAGAAAGAATTACGTGAAAGACAAAGTCGCTTACTCTCTTGGTAGGAATCTAGTTAGTAAAATATATGACAGTGAACTGTTTTATTGATTTTACAGCGAATTAGCAAGCAGATTCTAAAGTACAAGCCCCAAAAAAAGGTAGATACTTACTAATTCTATGTTCTTGGCCACGTGAATTCTTGATTTCTGCTTGTAATTATTGGAAACCAATAATTTTCCCTCTTCTCCCATACTGAATTTGAACGCCATCTGTGGGGATATTCTTCATCGGAATCACTTAATTTAAAACATTTGAATTTCGTGAAACCGGCCATGTCTTTCTGGGACTTTCTGGTGATAGGGGAAAATGGGGCAATTTCGAAAATGGGTCAATGTGGCAACCTGTTTAAAAATTTGTTGCAGACATAGCATTAATCCATTTAATTATCTAGTCTAGTTTAGCTTCCGAAGGACGGCGTGATCAGAGATTTTATGCCTCAGAAAATCCCGGCGGTGCCGACTGGGATTGAACCCAGGCCCTTTGTTTGTTGTTTACTAAGACGCACCGACCATCCCAATAGGGGGGTCATTTTACCCCAACGGATTTATTTCGGTTACAAAACGAACATTTTTTAAACCTTCTTTCACAAGGTTCAAAAGTTTTTCAAATTTTATTCGTGATGTAAATAGGGCTTGAGACTATCCATTTGGTTAAAAATCATTAGAATTTTCCACTGAATTTGGTATCATTACTGATGATTTTCTTAAGGTGGCCAAACGCCCTTCTATTTCCTCCAGGTAAATTAGATTATCGCGCAGTTTTGTACCACTTGTACTTTGGAGAAATAATTTCAAAAATCTTCCAGGAAATAGAATAGAGCCTTCCATGAAAAACTTGCGAAACTCGCGTGAACTACCGAGGACTTTTAACGGAAGAGTGAAAAGTGCTTGCAACTTGCTTGGAGAACCTCTTGAAAAGTTCGCTACCAAGACTTCCATACAGACTTGTTACAGAACGTTGCTGATAGAAACTCGTTCCACGGGAACGCCGAAAGTCTTCACGAAGCTTCAAAGGAAACTTTTGAATATTTTGAAAAGGATATTCAGAGGACATTCAAGCGTCAGTCAAGTTCCGCCCTCAATTTCGAGTCTAGAAGACTTCGAGGACAAGTTCAGATAACATTAAGGACGCGTTAAAGGGATAGAGATTCCGATGGATTTTAAGTTTCAATCCCGATGGCTTCAAAAGCAAATCCAGAAAGCTTTCAGGATCTATGTTTTCATGGATTCATGTACCAATCCAAGGAATTTAAGAACTGGACCTGTCCTATAAAACTGTAAAGGAAAGTCTAGAGGATCTCAAAAACAGGTCTTCTTGGGCATGATTTAAACAAAATCAGAGTTAAGTTCAGGAGTTTTCAAGGACAACTTTCAAGAGGACATTCGAAGCTTGAGCTTAGCCGAAGACTTCAAGGGATGGTTTCGATGGATAGGGAACTTTAAGAGACAATTTTAATACCCCCAAGAGAAAGGTTAGAGAATTTCGAGAGCTCGTTAAAAGGAGTTTTATTACAAGTGCTGAGATTTTCACATCTGAGCTTAGCCCAGAGATTCTTCAGCGTAACGTAAAGAGGGTAGCAAGGGTATATCCAGAACTTTAAAAATATTCTCTGGGACCTTGCCAGGTATGGTTTAGAGCTCATTCAGGAACAGAAGTATTTCAGTGCCAGTTTTCAAACTATCAACATTAAGTCTAGAGACAGTGTTGGGAAAATATGAAAAAATCAAATCTCACCAAAGAACAAGATCACGCTAGATATTCTTAGGCAAAAATCAACAAGCGGTTGATATTGCAAGCTGTGATGTCGCAGCTCGGAATATCAAGCGTACAAAACTCACCAAACTGTGGTGAGATGGACTTTCATGATTTTTGCTTTACACCCGAACGCAACCGGCAGCAGTCGGTTGGCAGCAGTCGCTTCGTGTCTGCCTTCGGTTAGGAGAAAAGAGAGATACCATTAGTATACCGTCTCTTTCTAAGATAATGAGCTGCAAGGGAATCATTTTTGCGTCGATTCAACTCTCAGCTTCAACTTTACACGTTGTGAATATTCTCGTAATATCAAAGGAGCTTGTAACATCAATATCAAGCATGCAATTTTGCTCCAATATCACGCGTAATATTGAGAGCGTATGAGAGCGGAAAAACATCAATTTGTTAATGATGATGCCATCACTGCTAGAGAATTAACAGAGTCTAGATTAGATCTAGAATCAGCGCAAAAGACTTGAGTTAAATTCGGGAATCTTCAAAGACAAATTTATCAGAGCATACCAATTTGGGAGTTTGTAGAAGACGTACAGGATGTGGAGAATTTGGAGTACTTAAAAAATTAGGACTTGTTTTTCAAGTACTCCAAGCCGTGAGGAGCCCTTGAAAGTCTCGATAATACAGAAAACTAAACTAAACTAGTTTCTGGGAGCATCTGGGGATAGGTCAGATCAGTGATGCCACATTTTGTCGATTTTCAACCTGTATTTTCATCGAAAAAAATCTATCTGTATCTGACTGACAAATCTGTAAACAAATCTGTAAAATTTCTTTATTATGGTCTTAGTGCAGCTTTACGTAAATCTCCGTTGAGTTAATTCAAGTTCAGAAGGACTTCGTTCAATGTTTAGAATCTTGAAAAATTACTAATGGTTGCTTTCTAAAGAATTTATGTATTTGAAAAATCCCCAATCCTACAATATTTTTTTAAGTGATGTGTATCTTTTCTACAGATTGAAAATACAAAACATTAAGTTCCAGTTGTAAGAGGCGAACCTGTTTCCGGCTGAAGATTTTCTTAATGAAGAAACTATCACAATTTTCTAGAATTTTATTTTTTGTATGTCTGTAATTACGAAAACCTTCAACTGGACATTTGTTTTTTTTTCAACTTCGTAATTTTTCAAAACACAAAACTTTTACTGAAAGTTTAGTCGAATTACATGCAATATTCCAACGCGTGATCAACTCTACACACCTTGATTCATGCCGAGTTATTAGTTGTGTCAAAAGCTGTGCCAAGCGCTCTGCCGAACGTACCTATCAAGGACAATTAAAGTATGCTTATCAAGGTGTTTGGCAACCCTGAAAGTTATGACTTTTGTAATTTTGTTTACATTCTCAATTTCTCTGATGGATCACATTCACCTCCATTCTCATTAGAGCGTTAGCGGGTCGGGAGGTGCAAGAGGAACTGCAAACCATCAAACCAATACGGTGTTCAAACATAGTTCAATCCCAAGCTTGGAGCAACATCGTCGAACCAGAAGTGCGTGTCCTCAAAGATATAACCCAAGTCTATCGTATCGCTGATTATGATGCCTTCCCTGAAGAACTGCCATACTTTGAAGATAGGATTCTCAGCCACCACAGACTTCAGCGGAAGCGCTTTATCAGGCGCCTTAGATCTGTATAGAACTCGAGAAGATTCCGCCCAATCCAGTCAGCTCCACACAGATGACAAACGTGGGCGATTCGCAGCATTACATATACACCTTTCAA